TGCTGGCGGCGATGGGCTACATTACTCCTGAGCAACTTGCTGGAAGGGTTACACCCGTTGTCTTTCTGTCTGTCTGTCTGGAAGGGTTACGACAGGGATGGGCAGAGGAGAGGGAGAAAAGCGTATGCCGTGTTAGTTTTGTGCTTGCACGGCCTGTGGCATAGATCTGGGCTGTTGACATTCTTCATGGCATCGTGTGGTGGGGCTCTCGTTCTTTTTTTGTATTTCTTTGTGCTACCTTGACGTCGTGATGCTGCGCCATCAACAGATGTGTTTTACACAGCTTCTTGCATGGTTTTGGATCTGTACTTTTCATGCGTAGAAGCGCCGAGGATCACTGGCAAGTTCCCTGGATACTTGAGCCCATCGGCCGGCTTGAAGTTCGCGGACGTGCCAAACGGCCTTGCTGCGATCTCCAAAGTTCCCGCCGCAGGTTGGGGTCAAATCCTTGCCTACATGGCGTTCTGCGAGGTTTCCCAGGATCAGTCGCCCGGCACGGCGGCTGCAGCAGGTGACTTCGGCTTCAAGGTCTTGACCTCCAGCGACCCGGCTGAGAAGACTAAGAAGCTCTCGGCGGAGCTTGCGAACGGAAGACTTGCGATGATGGCCATCATCGGCATGTTCTTTCAGGCGGGGGATTATGACATGCGCGTCTTGTTGCGATGACTTCACATGCGATTTTGGAGGAAGAATGCAAGTCAACATTTGTGTGCAGAATGCTGTTGCCTGTGAATATGATGTTTGGTTCATAGGACGGCCTGACCGGAAGCGCCTGGGGTGACTGGGCCAACTACACTGCCTCGCCGCTCCGAGCGTTCGAGAACGAGCTTGGTGTTCAGGATCCCGTCGGATTCTGGGACCCGGCTGGCTTCACCGCCGATGGCAGCGTGGAGGACTTCAAGCGCCGCCGCCAGACCGAGATCAAGCATGGCCGCATTGCAACTCGGATGATCGTGGTATTCATCGTGGTTGGAGAGTCAAGCCCACATGTAGGAGAACGCGACGACGCAGAGCTCATCTTGAGCTTTTTGCTTCTTGCTTTGTTGGGTAGGCCACTCAGCCACTGAAGCAAATTCAAGGCCATGCTGGCGGCGATGGGCTACATTACTCCTGAGCAACTTGCTGGAAGGGTTACACCCGTTGTCTTTCTGTCTGTCTGTCTGGAAGGGTTACGACAGGGATGGGCAGAGGAGAGGGAGAAAAGCGTATGCCGTGTTAGTGTTGTGCTTGCACGGCCTGTGGCATAAATCTGGGCTGTTGACATTCTTCATGGCATCGTGTGGTGGGGCTCTCGTTCTTTTTTTGTATTTCTTTGTGCTACCTTGACGTCGTGATGCTGCGCCATCAACAGATGTGTTTTACACAGCTTCTTGCATGGTTTTGGATCTGTACTTTTCATGCGTAGAAGCGCCGAGGATCACTGGCAAGTTCCCTGGATACTTGAGCCCATCGGCCGGCTTGAAGTTCGCGGACGTGCCAAACGGCCTTGCTGCGATCTCCAAAGTTCCCGCCGCAGGTTGGGGTCAAATCCTTGCCTACATGGCGTTCTGCGAGGTTTCCCAGGATCAGTCGCCCGGCACGGCGGCTGCAGCAGGTGACTTCGGCTTCAAGGTCTTGACCTCCAGCGACCCGGCTGAGAAGACTAAGAAGCTCTCGGCGGAGCTTGCGAACGGAAGACTTGCGATGATGGCCATCATCGGCATGTTCTTTCAGGCGGGGGATTATGACATGCGCGTCTTGTTGCGATGACTTCACGTGCGATTTTGGAGGAAGAATGCAAGTCAACATTTGTGTGCAGAATGCTGTTGCCTGTGAATATGATGTTTGGTTCATAGGACGGCCTGACCGGAAGCGCCTGGGGTGACTGGGCCAACTACACTGCCTCGCCGCTCCGAGCGTTCGAGAACGAGCTTGGTGTTCAGGATCCCGTCGGATTCTGGGACCCGGCTGGCTTCACCGCCGATGGCAGCGTGGAGGACTTCAAGCGCCGCCGCCAGACCGAGATCAAGCATGGCCGCATTGCAACTCGGATGATCGTGGTATTCATCGTGGTTGGAGAGTCAAGCCCACATGTAGGAGAACGCGACGACGCAGAGCTCATCTTGAGCTTTTTGCTTCTTGCTTTGTTGGGTAGGCCACTCAGCCACTGAAGCAAATTCAAGGCCATGCTGGCGGCGATGGGCTACATTACTCCTGAGCAACTTGCTGGAAGGGTTACACCCGTTGTCTTTCTGTCTGTCTGTCTGGAAGGGTTACGACAGGGATGGGCAGAGGAGAGGGAGAAAAGCGTATGCCGTGTTAGTTTTGTGCTTGCACGGCCTGTGGCATAGATCTGGGCTGTTGACATTCTTCATGGCATCGTGTGGTGGGGCTCTCGTTCTTTTTTTTTGTATTTCTTTGTGCTACCTTGACGTCGTGATGCTGCGCCATCAACAGATGTGTTTTACACAGCTTCTTGCATGGTTTTGGATCTGTACTTTTCATGCGTAGAAGCGCCGAGGATCACTGGCAAGTTCCCTGGATACTTGAGCCCATCGGCCGGCTTGAAGTTCGCGGACGTGCCAAACGGCCTTGCTGCGATCTCCAAAGTTCCCGCCGCAGGTTGGGGTCAAATCCTTGCCTACATGGCGTTCTGCGAGGTTTCCCAGGATCAGTCGCCCGGCACGGCGGCTGCAGCAGGTGACTTCGGCTTCAAGGTCTTGACCTCCAGCGACCCGGCTGAGAAGACTAAGAAGCTCTCGGCGGAGCTTGCGAACGGAAGACTTGCGATGATGGCCATCATCGGCATGTTCTTTCAGGCGGGGGATTATGACATGCGCGTCTTGTTGCGATGCTTCACGTGCGATTTTGGAGGAAGAATGCAAGTCAACATTTGTGTGCAGAATGCTGTTGCCTGTGAATATGATGTTTGGTTCATAGGACGGCCTGACCGGAAGCGCCTGGGGTGACTGGGCCAACTACACTGCCTCGCCGCTCCGAGCGTTCGAGAACGAGCTTGGTGTTCAGGATCCCGTCGGATTCTGGGACCCGGCTGGCTTCACCGCCGATGGCAGCGTGGAGGACTTCAAGCGCCGCCGCCAGACCGAGATCAAGCATGGCCGCATTGCAACTCGGATGATCGTGGTATTCATCGTGGTTGGAGAGTCAAGCCCACATGTAGGAGAACGCGACGACGCAGAGCTCATCTTGAGCTTTTTGCTTCTTGCTTTGTTGGGTAGGCCACTCAGCCACTGAAGCAAATTCAAGGCCATGCTGGCGGCGATGGGCTACATTACTCCTGAGCAACTTGCTGGAATGGTTGCGACAGGGATGGGCAGAGGAGAGGGAGAAAAGCGTAGGCCGTGATAGTTTTGTGCTTGCACGGCCTGTGGCATAGATCTGGGCTGTTGACATTTTTGTGTTTCTTTGTGCTACCTTCACGTCGTGATGCTGCGCCATCAACAGATGTGTCTTACACAGCTTCTTGCATGGTTTTGGATCTGTGCTTTTCATCCGTAGAAGCGCCGAGGATCACTGGCAAGTTCCCTGGATACTTGAGCCCATCGGCCGGCTTGAAGTTCGCGGACGTGCCAAACGGCCTTGCTGCGATCTCCAAAGTTCCCGCCGCAGGTTGGGGTCAAATCCTTGCCTACATGGCGTTCTGCGAGGTTTCCCAGGATCAGTCGCCCGGCACGGCGGCTGCAGCAGGTGACTTCGGCTTCAAGGTCTTGACCTCCAGCGACCCGGCTGAGAAGACTAAGAAGCTCTCGGCGGAGCTTGCGAACGGAAGACTTGCGATGATGGCCATCATCGGCATGTTCTTTCAGGCGGGGGATTATGACATGCGCGTCTTGTTGCGATGACTTCACGTGCGATTTTGGAGGAAGAATGCAAGTCAACATTTGTGTGCAGAATGCTGTTGCCTGTGAATATGATGTTTGGTTCATAGGACGGCCTGACCGGAAGCGCCTGGGGTGACTGGGCCAACTACACTGCCTCGCCGCTCCGAGCGTTCGAGAACGAGCTTGGTGTTCAGGATCCCGTCGGATTCTGGGACCCGGCTGGCTTCACCGCCGATGGCAGCGTGGAGGACTTCAAGCGCCGCCGCCAGACCGAGATCAAGCATGGCCGCATTGCAACTCGGATGATCGTGGTATTCATCGTGGTTGGAGAGTCAAGCCCACATGTAGGAGAACGCGACGACGCAGAGCTCATCTTGAGCTTTTTGCTTTTTGCTTTGTTGGGTAGGCCACTCAGCCACTGAAGCAAATTCAAGACTCAGCCACTGAAGCAAATTCAAGGCCATGCTGGCGGCGATGGGCTACATTACTCCTGAGCAACTTGCTGGAAGGGTTACGACAGGGATGGGCAGAGGAGAGGGAGAAAAGCGTATGCCGTTGTTAGTGTTGTGCTTGCACGGCCTGTGGCATAGATCTGGGCTGTTGACATTCTTCATGGCATCGTGTGGTGGGGCTCTCGTTCTTTTTTTGGTATTTCTTTGTGCTACCTTGACGTCGTGATGCTGCGCCATCAACAGATGTGTTTTACACAGCTTCTTGCATGGTTTTGGATCTGTACTTTTCATCCGTAGAAGCGCCGAGGATCACTGGCAAGTTCCCTGGATACTTGAGCCCATCGGCCGGCTTGAAGTTCGCGGACGTGCCAAACGGCCTTGCTGCGATCTCCAAAGTTCCCGCCGCAGGTTGGGGTCAAATCCTTGCCTACATGGCGTTCTGCGAGGTTTCCCAGGATCAGTCGCCCGGCACGGCGGCTGCAGCAGGTGACTTCGGCTTCAAGGTCTTGACCTCCAGCGACCCGGCTGAGAAGACTAAGAAGCTCTCGGCGGAGCTTGCGAACGGAAGACTTGCGATGATGGCCATCATCGGCATGTTCTTTCAGGCGGGGGATTATGACATGCGCGTCTTGTTGCGATGACTTCACGTGCGATTTTGGAGGAAGAATGCAAGTCAACATTTGTGTGCAGAATGCTGTTGCCTGTGAATATGATGTTTGGTTCATAGGACGGCCTGACCGGAAGCGCCTGGGGTGACTGGGCCAACTACACTGCCTCGCCGCTCCGAGCGTTCGAGAACGAGCTTGGTGTTCAGGATCCCGTCGGATTCTGGGACCCGGCTGGCTTCACCGCCGATGGCAGCGTGGAGGACTTCAAGCGCCGCCGCCAGACCGAGATCAAGCATGGCCGCATTGCAACTCGGATGATCGTGGTATTCATCGTGGTTGGAGAGTCAAGCCCACATGTAGGAGAACGCGACGACGCAGAGCTCATCTTGAGCTTTTTGCTTCTTGCTTTGTCGGGTAGGCCACTCAGCCACTGAAGCAAATTCAAGGCCATGCTGGCGGCGATGGGCTACATTACTCCTGAGCAACTTGCTGGAAGGGTTACACCCGTTGTCTTTCTGTCTGTCTGTCTGGAAGGGTTACGACAGGGATGGGCAGAGGAGAGGGAGAAAAGCGTATGCCGTGTTAGTTTTGTGCTTGCACGGCCTGTGGCATAGATCTGGGCTGTTGACATTCTTCATGGCATCGTGTGGTGGGGCTCTCGTTCTTTTTTTTGTATTTCTTTGTGCTACCTTGACGTCGTGATGCTGCGCCATCAACAGATGTGTTTTACACAGCTTCTTGCATGGTTTTGGATCTGTACTTTTCATGCGTAGAAGCGCCGAGGATCACTGGCAAGTTCCCTGGATACTTGAGCCCATCGGCCGGCTTGAAGTTCGCGGACGTGCCAAACGGCCTTGCTGCGATCTCCAAAGTTCCCGCCGCAGGTTGGGGTCAAATCCTTGCCTACATGGCGTTCTGCGAGGTTTCCCAGGATCAGTCGCCCGGCACGGCGGCTGCAGCAGGTGACTTCGGCTTCAAGGTCTTGACCTCCAGCGACCCGGCTGAGAAGACTAAGAAGCTCTCGGCGGAGCTTGCGAACGGAAGACTTGCGATGATGGCCATCATCGGCATGTTCTTTCAGGAGACGTGACAGCACAAGCTTGTCGAAGCTTGTGTCAGTCGTTGCATGCAGTTAGGGCGTTTCTACGAGCATGTCATGTCGCAGAGCATTGTCTGCATGAAGGATGGTTTGACCGGCAGTGCTTGGGGTGACTGGGCCAACTACACCGCCTCTCCGCTGCGTGCGTCTGACAGCCGCTAAGTGTTTGTTCATTTCGACAGTTTTGACCCGGCCATCTCTGCGCGGGTGTGCCAGGATGTACAGATTTCCAAAAGATTTTGCGCTTTCTTCGGGAACGGTGCTCGACCCTGGTGCCCAGGTCCTTTAGGACCTGCCCAATTCAAACCTATTCACGCATCTCAACACGAAGTCCTTCCATCAACGTTGACAAGACTATGGAACTCCCGGGACTCGGAGAAAGCCCCTCTCTCTCCGTTCTGTGCGACGGTTTGCTCCTGTGGCGCAACAGTCAGAGTCGGGTCTTCGGGCTTGGAGTTAAGGGGGATGGGAAGTAACTTGCCTCAGCTGTCCACAGTGTTGGCACTCCTCCAGCCTAGCACGGCGGGGATGACCAAGCTGGCGGAATGAAAGGAGTTGTGGAATACGCATCTAGTGATACCTGCGTCCTTTCCGAATTCAACAAGGTTTAGATGAGCCGTTCGCGGGGGGACACGGGAGCTGCGTTGCGAATGTTGAGTTCGGCTTGCTGCTTGAGAGGAAGTGTGTATGAATTGTAGGCAAGAAGGCCAACTGAAAACGCAAATTGCCTATATGTTCCAGCACGCAGGACATATGGCGGCAAGGCGCAGGCCCGAGCGCCTTTTTTGTTGGTTTTTTTTAGGTTCGTGCTTTCATGGGCGCTCATGGACGGCTTCTCCTATTGAGTTGGGCACGACCTCTGGAAGTCAACTGCAGCTCGAAGGCTGTAACCCAGTCGCCTCCTGCAGTAGTCTCGGATGCCGAACGTCCTTAAGTCCCTCAGCCGATATGCCTTAAGGCATGAAAGGACTTCGCTCCGAAACCTTTAGACACATCAACCCCGAGCCCAAAAACTAATGACCTGCATCTCCATCCCTGCACAAACCTTCATCCTTATCCACACCAAAGATCGCCAAGAAAAGCATTGCCAACATTTGCCAGTGCTATGGCTTGTTACTTCAAAGGCCCCTTCTGCCGCTGCGGACATCCCATGCCTAACATCGTAAAGACTTTCACTCAACCAAAAAAGTTGCAAGCCGAAAGCTGCCCTACGTCTTCGGCGCCGAAATCCCAACGTTTACGCCAAAAGCTCCGGACCCTGCCAGCTGAAGGAAGGGCTTTCTCAGCACCCGGTAAACTTGAGGAATGTTTGCAGCTGACGTCATCCAAAATTCAATCCCCCCGGGAAATGGAGGATTTTCTGTTTTTTTTTGGTCCTTTGGGTCCTTCGGGTCCTCCGGGTCCTTGGGGTCCTTTGGGTCCTTCGGGTCCTGTCGCTGGAGCTGTGCAGCGGCGTTTAGCCATGTGAAGGCCGCCTCGATTCGGGTGTCCAGCGTTCCCTTCAGAATCTTTGGGCTGCTCATGGTCTGGTGTTTTTCTTTTTGAGCTTTTGGGGAGTCCGCCCTCTCTTCTTGAACAGAACTCTCTAGCTCGGGAGCTCCAATCGAAAGAACATCTCAGGCCCCGCCAGGCCGCAAAGCCTCGTCGCGAAGCATTGTACGGTTCATGGCCCCTCACACTCTTGAAGCCTAAGACTCTGAGACTCTGAGACTCCAAGAGCCTCTAAGACTCTAAGACTTCGTTCCCAGGGCCACCCCTGGAGCTGGCAGCTCGAGGCGGCTCTGTCCGAGGACCGTCGCAGGGCTTCGATGGGCTTCGCCCCAAGCCCGTTAATTTGCTCATGAGAGAGACGCGGGGTTGTGGCATGTTGCAAGGTTTGGAGAAATTTGCCGGGTCTGATGTTTCGCGTTGGTGGTCTTCGGTGGTTTAGAGGCTGGTCTCGGGTCTGTGATGTGCAGCTGTGTTTATGCGGCGCTAAACGGCGCTAGACCTGAACTCTAGGTGGTAATCCTTGGGTCTAAACTCCTCCGAGCAAGAGTACCAGGCCCCCTCAGGTCCTCATCTGCAAGACGTCATAGGCAACTACGTTCAGAGTCGGGCTGTTTCCTTTTGGCGACTCGCTCGGTCGTGCTTGCGTGCTCTTTCTGCACTCTGCACCTCGCCGCTCTCCGCCGCTGCCGCCCCTCAAGGACCTTTATTAAAGGGCACTTCTGCAATTTTTTTTCGCCATCGCCTTTTAACTTTTCCTTTTCCACGATGGCCAGCTGCCCGGCCCTCAGCCTCTGTCTTGGTTTTCGCATGTTTGTGTGAATGTGTTTGGGCATGCTCCTACGAGTTCCAAGACGCGTTGTTACTGGGCGTTGAGGATAGAAGCTCAGATGCTCTTCGCCAACAGGCAGTTTGTGATTTTATCGATTGAGGTTTCCTCTTCACATATTTGGGGCTCTGAGGCTACTTCCTTTCTCGAGCCTCATGCTCTTGAGATGCGCCGTGAAGCCCAAGAATCTGTAAGAAAGGTCAGAAGTCCATTGCCGTGGCGGCACTGTCCGCCGCGGGCCTGGCCGCCACCATGGGGGTGGAGGCGAGGGTTTGGAACTCTGAGGGTTTGGAACCGCCGGGGTTGGCGAGCGTGAGAAAGTCGAGGCTTGGCAGCCCTGAAGCCCATCAGCAGACTCTGTGGCCCAAGTACCTTCTTCACGCCGGACTCGGCTGGCGGGTTGCCGGCTCTTGGGCGGGTCTTTGCAGCGTGGATAGCGTGGGGCCTAGGGCTTTTCTGGGGCTTCTCTTGCTGAACAAACTCCAAACACGGAATGCTTGAACCTCAGAGAAGTGGGCTTTCCTCACAGAGACCCCAGGCCCTACAACCGCAAACGGCAACCGCTCAACCCGAAAATGCAGCTTTTGGCTTGCCAGGCCTTCGTCAGCACCAGCGCGTCCGCGCCAGCCGTGAAGGAGGGGGTTCCGGACTGTGCGGTACTTCCCAGGTTGCGGTATTGGGCAGGCTTTACACGGGATTCTGCACTTGATGTTTGGGGACGGTGCGCATCACCTAGAGATGTCTCAGCATGTGCACGTGTCGACGTGTCGACATGCCAAGTCCTCGCCGAGTTGCCCGTTTTGGAGAGGTTGTTGATGGCTTTTGAGGTGGTGTACGCTGTCCTTGAGTTGGGGGGTGCAGGGTATGGTGGATGTCGCTGTAAGGGCAATGTCAGGGCTTCAACACGCAGACAACAATATCTTCCGGCGTCCGACAAATTCCTGTGAGGTCAATCCGGCCTGTCTCCTGAGAACATACCATCCCTGTTGCCTTAACTTCGAGTCCTGACGCCCCGACCCGAACTCGCTACACCCCAGTGTCGAAGAAATGCACGAGGCTCCCAGCAGCAGCCTGCGCGGATCTGCTGCCACAGGTACGTGGCGTGGGAATGTTGAAAAGCCTTAAAGAACGTGATGTACTGTACATCGATTCAGGGGCACCGCCACACATGTGTCTAAACAGGTATCTGTGGACAGCCAGGAGCTATATTTTCCAAGCACCGGAGATCCCCACACCAGTTTCCGAATGGAGCTCCTCTTGCTGCTCAAGCCTTGAGAAGTGCCGAACCTCCCATGCGAAGCCCGAGGCCCTAAGCCCGAACAACCCTAGACCCGATCGAAGGTGCATCCCCTGCATCCGCCTCTTCCCTGGCACCCCTCGCCGCGGCTTCCGTCGTGGCGGCCGCGGCCCTCCGGCCGAAGGCGCCTTCTGGGTGGGGAGTCGTCCTCTTGTTTCGCTACTTTGGTGTTACATTGTCACACGTTGTACCGAGTGCGGAAAGTAGGCATCACATCGCTGAGTGTTGCGTTGAAGCTGCAAATTCCCAAGCCGGCGTCATGCCATGAAGCCGCACGGGTCTGGCATCGGCCAATATCGACCACGCCAGGGATGAAAGCCTTCCCATCCTGAAGCCTCCTAGCTCGTACATACAACCTAGACCCCGAAGGGCAAGGGCGGCATCAGCAAGCCCGTGGTTAGCCTCCGTGCCTTCGAGATTCTTGGAAGCACAGTCACCGGCCTTGAGCCAGACATGTGGCCTTTTGCCGAACGCATGCACTAAGCATCCAAAATTTGAACGTGGCATGGTGGGAGCTAGAGGCGAAAAGGATTAAGGATCTCATGTTGGTCGCAGCCGGGTGTTCTCATTTCCTTCGCCACATGCCGCTGCCCAACTGTCCGGAGTGTGTGCAGATGGGCTCTTCTGTGCCAAGATAGTGCAGTTGCCGCGTGCCGGTTTCCCTAGTTGTTCTCAACAGCCTCCCCCCCTCCCCCCCTCCCCCTCCAACAAATCACACCTCATGTCCGACAGTACCTTTCCGCACTTGGGCATTCTCACTGGAAAGTTGTGTCCTAGTCCTAGACCCATGCCAGAGTTCGGTGCAATGAAAGCTGGAATGAAGTTTCTTGCGACCGGACTGAGTGCAGCGCCGTAGTGACACGCATGAGAAGCTGAGGAACGAGCTTGGTGTTCAGGATCCCGTCGGATTCTGGGACCCGGCTGGCTTCACCGCCGATGGCAGCGTGGAGGACTTCAAGCGCCGCCGCCAGACCGAGATCAAGCATGGCCGCATTGCAACTCGGATGATCGTGGTATTCATCGTGGTTGGAGAGTCAAGCCCACATGTAGGAGAACGCGACGACGCAGAGCTCATTTTGAGCTTTTTGCTTCTTGCTTTGTTGGGTAGGCCACTCAGCCACTGAAGCAAATTCAAGGCCATGCTGGCGGCGATGGGCTACATTACTCCTGAGCAACTTGCTGGAAGGGTTACGACAGGGATGGGCAGAGGAGAGGGAGAAAAGCGCATGCCGTGTTAGTGTTGTGCTTGCACGGCCTGTGGCATAGATCTGGGCTGTTGACATTCTTCATGGCAGGGCGTGGTGGGGTTCTCATTTTTGTTGTATTTCTTTGTGCTACCTTCATGTCGTGATGCTGCGCCATCAACAGATGTGTTTTACACAGCTTCTTGTATGGTTTTGGATCTGTGCTTTTCATCCGTAGAAGCGCCGAGGATCACTGGCAAGTTCCCTGGATACTTGAGCCCATCGGCCGGCTTGAAGTTCGCGGACGTGCCAAACGGCCTTGCTGCGATCTCCAAAGTTCCCGCCGCAGGTTGGGGTCAAATCCTTGCCTACATGGCGTTCTGCGAGGTTTCCCAGGATCAGTCGCCCGGCACGGCGGCTGCAGCAGGTGACGTCGGCTTCAAGGTCTTGACCTCCAGCGACCCGGCTGAGAAGACTAAGAAGCTCTCGGCGGAGCTTGCGAACGGAAGACTTGCGATGATGGCCATCATCGGCATGTTCTTTCAGGCGGGGGATTATGACATGCGCGTCTTGTTGCGATGACTTCACGTGCGATTTTGAAGGAAGAATGCAAGTCAACATTTGTGTGCAGAATGCTGTTGCTTGTGAATATGATGTTTTGTTCATAGGACGGCCTGACCGGAAGCGCCTGGGGTGACTGGGCCAACTACACTGCCTCGCCGCTCCGCGCGTTCGAGAACGAGCTTGGTGTTCAGGATCCCGTCGGATTCTGGGACCCGGCTGGCTTCACCGCCGATGGCAGCGTGGAGGACTTCAAGCGCCGCCGCCAGACCGAGATCAAGCATGGCCGCATTGCAACTCGGATGATCATGGTATTCATCGTGGTTGGAGAGTCAAGCCCACATGTAGGAGAACGCGACGACGCAGAGCTCATCTTGAGCTTTTTGCTTCTTGCTTTGTCGGGTAGGCCACTCAGCCACTGAAGCAAAATCAAGGCCATGCTGGCGGCGATGGGCTACATTACTCCTGAGCAACTTGCTGGAAGGGTTACACCCGTTGTCTTTCTGTCTGTCTGTCTGGAAGGGTTACGACAGGGATGGGCAGAGGAGAGGGAGAAAAGCGTATGCCGTGTTAGTGTTGTGCTTGCACGGCCTGTGGCATAAATCTGGGCTGTTGACATTCTTCATGGCATCGTGTGGTGGGGCTCTCGTTCTTTTTTTGTATTTCTTTGTGCTACCTTGACGTCGTGATGCTGCGCCATCAACAGATGTGTTTTACACAGCTTCTTGCATGGTTTTGGATCTGTACTTTTCATCTGTCGAAGTGCTGAGGATCACTGGCAAGTTCCCTGGATACTTGAGCCCATCGGCCGGTTTGAAATTCGCGGACGTGCCAAACGGTCTTGCTGCGATCTCCAAAGTTCCCGCCGCAGGTTGGGGTCAGATCCTTGCCTACATGGCGTTCTGCGAGGTTTCCCAGGATCAGTCGGCCGGCACGGCGGCTGCAGCAGGCGACTTTGGCTTCAAGGTCTTGACCTCCAGCGACCCGGCTGAGAAGACTAAGAAGCTCTCAGCGGAGCTGGCGAACGGCAGACTTGCGATGATGGCCATCATCGGCATGTTCTTTCAGGCGGGATTATCACATGCGTGTGCCGTTAACGTTGTGATGACTTCATTGACTTCATGTGAGTTGAAGGAGGAATGCAGGTGTTAACCTTTAATGCAGAAAGCAGCTTTTGTGTTGTGATGTTTGGGTCATAGGACGGCCTGACCGGAAGCGCCTGGGGTGACTGGGCCAACTACACCGCCTCTCCGCTCCGAGCGTTCGAGAACGAGCTTGGTGTTCAGGATCCCGTCGGATTTTGGGACCCGGCTGGCTTCACCGCCGACGGCAGCGTGGAGGACTTCAAGCGCCGCCGCCAGACCGAGATCAAGCATGGCCGCATTGCAACTCGGATGTTCGAGGTTAGAGGGCCTGGAACGCATGTAGAGCACCTCTACGACACAGAGCTCATCTTGAGCATTATTCATTCTTGTTTCGTTGGGTAGGCCACTCAAGATCCCACTGAAGCAATTCAAGTCCATGCTGCGGCGGATGTGGCTACATTACTTCCTGAGCACTTGCTGGAAGGGGTGCGACAGGGATGGGCATAGGAGAGGGCGAAAAGCGTATGCCGTGTTTAGTTTTTGTGCTTGCACTGCCCTGTGGCATAGATCTGGGCTGTTGCCATTCCTTCATCGGCATCGTGTGGTGGGGCTCTCTTCTTTTTTTTTGTATTTCTTTGTGCTACCTTCACGTCGTGATGCTGCGCCATCAACAGATGTGTTTTACACAGCTTCTTGCATGGTTTTGGATCTGTGCTTTTCATCCGTAGAAGCGCCGAGGATCACTGGCAAGTTCCCTGGATACTTGAGCCCATCGGCCGGCTTGAAGTTCGCGGACGTGCCAAACGGCCTTGCTGCGATCTCCAAAGTTCCCGCCGCAGGTTGGGGTCAAATCCTTGCCTACATGGCGTTCTGCGAGGTTTCCCAGGATCAGTCGCCCGGCACGGCGGCTGCAGCAGGTGACTTCGGCTTCAAGGTCTTGACCTCCAGCGACCCGGCTGAGAAGACTAAGAAGCTCTCGGCGGAGCTTGCGAACGGAAGACTTGCGATGATGGCCATCATCGGCATGTTCTTTCAGGCGGGGGATTATGACATGCGCGTCTTGTTGCGATGACTTCACGTGCGATTTTGGAGGAAGAATGCAAGTCAACATTTGTGTGCAGAATGCTGTTGCCTGTGAATATGATGTTTGGTTCATAGGACGGCCTGACCGGAAGCGCCTGGGGTGACTGGGCCAACTACACTGCCTCGCCGCTCCGAGCGTTCGAGAACGAGCTTGGTGTTCAGGATCCCGTCGGATTCTGGGACCCGGCTGGCTTCACCGCCGATGGCAGCGTGGAGGACTTCAAGCGCCGCCGCCAGACCGAGATCAAGCATGGCCGCATTGCAACTCGGATGATCGTGGTATTCATCGTGGTTGGAGAGTCAAGCCCACATGTAGGAGAACGCGACGACGCAGAGCTCATCTTGAGCTTTTTGCTTCTTGCTTTGTTGGGTAGGCCACTCAGCCACTGAAGCAAATTCAAGGCCATGCTGGCGGCGATGGGCTACATTACTCCTGAGCAACTTGCTGGAAGGGTTACGACAGGGATGGGCAGAGGAGAGGGAGAAAAGCGTATGCCGTGTTAGTTTTGTGCTTGCACGGCCTGTGGCATAGATCTGGGCTGTTGACATTCTTCATGGCATCGTGTGGTGGGGCTCTCGTTCTTTTTTTGTATTTCTTTGTGCTACCTTCACGTCGTGATGCTGCGCCATCAACAGATGTGTTTTACACAGCTTCTTGCATGGTTTTGGATCTGTACTTTTCATCGTAGAAGCGCCGAGGATCACTGGCAAGTTCCCTGGATACTTGAGCCCATCGGCCGGCTTGAAGTTCGCGGACGTGCCAAACGGCCTTGCTGCGATCTCCAAAGTTCCCGCCGCAGGTTGGGGTCAAATCCTTGCCTACATGGCGTTCTGCGAGGTTTCCCAGGATCAGTCGCCCGGCACGGCGGCTGCAGCAGGTGACTTCGGCTTCAAGGTCTTGACCTCCAGCGACCCGGCTGAGAAGACTAAGAAGCTCTCGGCGGAGCTTGCGAACGGAAGACTTGCGATGATGGCCATCATCGGCATGTTCTTTCAGGCGGGGGATTATGACATGCGCGTCTTGTTGCGATGACTTCACGTGCGATTTTGGAGGAAGAATGCAAGTCAACATTTGTGTGCAGAATGCTGTTGCCTGTGAATATGATGTTTGGTTCATAGGACGGCCTGACCGGAAGCGCCTGGGGTGACTGGGCCAACTACACTGCCTCGCCGCTCCGAGCGTTCGAGAACGAGCTTGGTGTTCAGGATCCCGTCGGATTCTGGGACCCGGCTGGCTTCACCGCCGATGGCAGCGTGGAGGACTTCAAGCGCCGCCGCCAGACCGAGATCAAGCATGGCCGCATTGCAACTCGGATGATCGTGGTATTCATCGTGGTTGGAGAGTCAAGCCCACATGTAGGAGAACGCGACGACGCAGAGCTCATCTTGAGCTTTTTGCTTCTTGCTTTGTTGGGTAGGCCACTCAGCCACTGAAGCAAATTCAAGGCCATGCTGGCGGCGATGGGCTACATTACTCCTGAGCAACTTGCTGGAAGGGTTACG